CTCCTCTCCTCCTCCTCTCTCTCTCTCTCTCTCTCTCTCTCCATCTTTATCTCTCTCGTTCAACCCCTGCCACGGGAAATATCTAAATCCGACCGAGAACGGGCGGAATCGTTTCGATCCGGGCCACGGAACGTTCGGGGCTTCGATCAAACGGGAATAATTGGCGGGATTGGCGGTACGCTAAATTACCAATGAAATCTAATCGTCGGCAATTTCGTTTGGTTAAAGTGAAAGACAGTTTGTAGGTCTTGCAACGGGAGCATAGAGGGCTCCAATTTTTTTTTTTTTTTCTTAATGTCTTTTAAAACCAAACCGGGTACAAGAATCGAAGACAATAGGGATAGATAGTAGAGAGACAACATTTTTGCTGTTACCGTATGTAAGTAAGACGAGGATCTTTCTTTTTCTTTTTTCTTCTTATTTCGAATCATTTTCCCGATAAGCTTCTTTTTTCCAATTCCCGCGTCGCCATTTCTCTCGCCAAATTTATCCGGAGGAGGGACGCATATAACGCGCGCATTCTGCTCCACCATCGCGAATACCCTTTTTCGACGAGCACGAGATACGATCAAAGCTACTGTATCGAGAGCCGTAATAGAAATTAGGTTGCCGGTTATCCACCGTGAAAACGCGTTTCGGGAACGAATCGTTCCGCGAAACGGGCAATCGCGGAAGCTATTGGTATCGGGAAAGCTTGCACACCGGACCGCAAGAACATCGCGCACTCTGCACTCCGGGGTGAATCACGGGGACAAAAGCGGGTTTCGTTGATTTCGTTGAAGTCGGTTCTACGACCCCCGATGATGAACGCGAGCGAGCGACACCGCTTTGGGGATGGCGCGCGGCTCCGTCGCTGCCCGCTCGGCCTATTGTCGAAGACAGACAATACAGCGCGATAAAAACGTAAAATTGATGCTCTTTTGTTCGCATTGTTTGAGAAGCTGTACAACGTTTGTCGCACGCCTGGACGAGCCACTGTTATTGGCTCCAAACTACATTCTCCTGTTCCGTTTCGCCTTCTCCCCTTCTCCTCTGCGCTCCGCTCTTTCCCTCCTCTCTCTCTCTCGACTTCTCATCGTCCATCACGCTCTCTCTCTTTCGCGCCCTTCTCTTACGTGCCACCAGAGAACAACCGCTCGCTTTTCCTACCCCCTTTCGAAACCTTTCGTCTCGTCAATAAGCCGGCATTGTGTCCCGCCACGCTTCCATAGTTTCACCGTTTTACATTGACCGCCGCTCTTCCATCCGAACCTTATTCCCCTCTCCCGCGCTCCGCCTCTCCCCGTTCGATCTCTCTCGATTTCTTGTCGTCGTCGTCGTCGTCGTCGTCGCACGAACCGTCGACTTAGCCTCGTCGCGATTCTCCGCTCAACTGTGTCCCCGATCCCTTTGTCCCCCTCCTCAACGGTGTAATTCGCCGACGTCGAAGGCAGCCGACGTCGGAATCGCGGCCAGGGTAAAGTCGCGAAATTACTCGGGCCTCGTTACCGGCGGCAATAAAATTTCGCATCCCGGCAAATTACTCGCCGCTCTGTCCGTTGTAATTTACGCGTCAGATGGTAGGTAGACCGGATGATCAACGGAGTAGGGAGGGAGGGAAGGGAAAGATCGCTTTGAGCCAAATTGCGGAACTTTAATAAAACACGGGGCGCGAGAGAGGACGCGATGGAAACGATGGAAGGGATAATCGCGAGAGAAGAACGATTCGACGTGAACCGATTCGAGATGAAAATCTCGCTCGATCGAGGCGTGTCGCGAATTTTACAATTTCGTTCGACTCGTCGAAACTCGTCGTCGAAAGTGGCGAATTTTCGTTCGCCGTTTAAGGGGAACTGCTCCCCGTCCTCCACTCGGTCGCACGGAGCAATATGATACAAAAATGTCAGCAGTATCCGGATAATTACATAACTGGTCTCAGGGGTCGGAGCCGGGAGATGGACGTGGCGACGAGAGAAGTTGGCCTCCTCCTGCGTGGAATGCGGATCGCGCGAGCGGAGGAAGAGGTCGCGACGGATAGAGCGCAGGGTGATTTCCCAGCTGACCTGTAAAGCAACTCCCGAGCGGACTGTGTCTCTCCTCGCAAACCAGTACTCCCGCTTCGTTCCTTTTCGTCCCCTGTATTTCTCCGTATCCCGCCCCCAACCGCCCGCCCTCCACCGTCTTCTTTGTTACTTTTGCATGCGTTCGCATCCGTCCTCCTTTCTCCTTCGCTCGTCTCGCGTCGTTCCTCTTCTTTTCACGGAAGAGAAACGCACGCGTGGAGATAAAAGGGAAAGAAACGAGGAAAGAAAAATTGATGGACGAAGGGGCGGGGATGATGAAAAAAGGAGCAACGACGGATTATAAACGGAAGGATTTAATTGGAACGGTTAACTCGACTTACCGATGAGTGCACTGTTGGCAAGCGAAACAATCCAGGTGATAGACGTTCGTCCTGGCCTTCATAACCATCTCGAACGGCGGTATCTGCTTGTTGCAAGCCGCGCAATGTCCCGGATTCCCGAACAGCCTGAGGTAGTCCCTCTTACAGAGGATAAGGTTGGCCCTGGTGAACAGACTAGAACCGACCTCTCCTAACCTACAGTCGCAGCACCGCACTTCAGACAGTCCTCGTGCCAGAACAGGTCCATGGCCTTGAGGAGATACCTGAAGAACCGACCATAGTTTTCCTTCTTACCGACCAGTACCCTATCATTCTCCAGCTTCATCTTCCACCGGAAGATTTCCGGAAGAAGAAGTTTATCTTTCGATTAATTGAGATTTTTCTTTTTTTTCTTTTTTTTTTTTTCTTCCCCCCCTGCCTCCCTCCCTCCCTCGTTTGCGAACAATTTATATATATATATATATATATATATATGTTTATACACATGTTTTCGTATAATATTGATAATACGTTCTTTCTTTCTCTTTTTTTTTTTTCTTTTCTCTCCCTGTTTTCAAGTAGAATAAAACGCGATCGGTATCTCTCACCTTTCCGTGATCGCTTTCCCACAACCAGCGCACTCGTGCTGCGTCGCGCCATTTTTACTCGGCTCCGACTTGCTCACGTCCATCGTCATCGTGATTTCGGCTAGAGCGCCGTCTGCAACAAGGAACAAGAACGGCGACTCGTTAAATCCGCGACATCGTGAATCGTGTCTCCCCTACCATTGTGCTTTCGTAACAATGGCCCGCGCAGACAGCCACCACGCGTAATGTACACGTACGTCGTGATAATAAGCGTCTGCTAAGTGGCCGACAACACGCAATAACGATCCACGCTAATTGGGAACGGTCGTCGGTCGTCGCCGCGAGTTAAATCTCTCGGGTTACGTTTCTTTCCCCGCGGATCGACGGTTACTTCGACTCTAAATGCTCCTAAAAATACCAAAAATCTAAACCTTCCGATCGAATCGGGACGATTCGAAGAAATCATATTTCGAAATTACGTTCGTCGTGTGTAAATTTATAAACGATCGAGAGGAGAGAATTTGATTTGATCGTGGATCTCGGACGAACGAGAACTCGTGGTTCGAGTTAGGCTCGAGTATCCGATGACCGCGTTTCGAAGATCTACGGGGGCAGCGGGAGGCGGACGGTTCATCGATCGCGAGGAACCGTTCGAACCGATGTGGCCCGACGAACGGTTGAAAAGCGGCGCAGCTACGAGAGAGAGAAACAAAGAGAGAGAGGGGGAGAGAGGAATAACCACATTCGCAGGAACGAACGCGATTCTAAAGGCGATCCGAGGGAAGGAGGACGGCCGGCTAAAATGGTGAGTGGCTGCACGGCGAGGCGCGGGGGCTTAATTAATTAGCCGGATACTTTGAGTAACAATCCATTATTACATACAAACATCCTCGGCCCCGGGGCCGAGCTGTAGCTTTATGCTGCTAATTGGCCTTCTCAAAGCTTGGAGACCCGGGCACGAGTTATAAACGCCACTCCTCTAACTCGCCAGCATCCCGACTCCATCCCTCCCTCAACCTTCTTCACCCCCTCCCCCACCTTCTCTATTTCTCGTTTCCCTCTTCCCAACCGTTTCTCTCTGTCCCTCTCTCTCTCTCTCTCTCTCTCTCTCTCTCTCTCTCTCTCTCTCTCTCTCTCTCTCTCTCTCTCTCTCTCTCTCTCTC